TTTCAAACTTCAAGTGAAAACTCTTGATTTTCCATGACCAGATATTTACAACTGATTCTAATAATTATGAATATTTTTTTTTCAAGTTAAATTGTAAAAACAATTGAGATTAACTGATGAACATTTTGTAAACAATGAGCATACACACAAACACATACCTTGCTTTTTCTTTAGCAATCACATGAGGATCTTGAAAAAAATTTTCAATTCTCTCTTTTTGCGACTGCTTACCTATCAATGACCTGAAAACAAAATTTTCAGTTTTTAGCTATATATTTTTAAATAGTCCCTTGCTCATAGAGATGATTTTAAACATCAAGCTTTTAATGTGTTTCTGAATTAAGCAATCATTTGATTGAAGTGACAATCGACTCGTGATATTAAAACATGGCTTAAAATTTTATGAATTACACAACAATATAAAACCTAAAGTTCCATCAATGTTCGTGGCAAACACGGATCTTTAATGTCTATTTTGTGCTTGGTATTGCATGGATCTTTAATGTCTATTTTGTGCTTGGTATTGCATGATAGGCTTGATCTTGGAACAAAAAAAAAAGAAAGGAAAAAAAAAAGAAACCATTTGAGATTTTAGATATCGCGGTAAAACTACTGATGGTAAACGACAGAATAAATTGAAAAGGAACCATACAAAAAAGTTGAACTTATTTTGTGGCTGACTGGTATCTTGTTTGTAATGTTATCCATTCCATATCTCGAGCAGTTGGAGAATGAAATTGATATTCATGCTATTCTTTTAGAAGACATGCTGGTCAATTAACCAAATGCCTATGGACTTTGTGTGATCAAACTGTTGAAACAGGCTTAGGGAAAATGTTGTTCTCGAACATTAGACAAGTGAAGTGCTAAGTATTGTGTTTAGACATGACAGTCTTGCAATGGATATTTTTGTAATGGAAACTATTCTGCAGCACTATTCTTGATGTGCATGGTCATCAAAGAAACATGACTGGACCTAGTGATATGGACTGTAAGGGCATGACAAGGCTCCAAAATTGTTTTGATATAACATACTAAACCCTCTGTATTTGCTCATGGACTTCCTTGAATCAAATAAAACAAACCTGTAAATCCAATATTATTGCACTAGGTAGGAAAATGTTGTTTTGTAAGTAGTTAAAATCATCTTTTATTGTTTTGTTTATGCGAAACTAGTCTAAGCTCCAAATATTTTATAACATAATGTCTGGCAGTCAAATATCAAAACAAATGTAGCCATGGATGGAAAGAGAAATTTTTGCCAAAATTGAAAATTTCTGAGCATTAACAAACAATTCTTTTCTTCCAACCCTGCCAACACGTGAACAATCACCAGAAGTAGGCTTAAGAAATTAGTCATTGTGCAGGTACATAAATGTAATAAAAAACAATCAGCAGCAGTAGGCTTAAGGAATTAGTCAATGTGCAGGTGCATAAGTGTAATAAAAAACAATCAACAGCAGTAGGCTTAAGGAATTAGTCATTGTGCAGGTGCATAACTGTAATAAAAAACAATCACCAGCAGTAGGCTTAAGGAATTAGTCAATGTGCAGGTGCATAAGTGTAATAAAAAACAATCGCCAGCAGTAGGCTTAAGGAATTAGTCATTGTGCAGGTGCATAACTGTAATAAAAAACAATCGCCAGCAGTAGGCTTAAGGAATTAGTCATTGTGCAGGTGCATAACTGTAATAAAAAACAATCACCAGCAGTAGGCTTAAGGAATTAGTGATTGTGCAGGTATGTAAGTGTAATAAAAAGAACGAGTCAAGTATGAAACAAGAGAAAAAATCAAATGAATGAGTCCAAAAATTCATTTTTGCTTTGTTTGTTTTGCACAAGACTTTTCTATATTTGTTTCATTCTAGCCCAAAGTGCAAATACAGTTTTCTGTATACCCAGTATGGAACTTGCCCATTTCTTCATAATCCTTTCCATTGTCACAAACATCTTTTCGGATTGATCATTAACAAGAATGGTCATGAAAGTACAAACTTTAAGCCTAACTTACTACTCAGTGTTTTATACTTTTTAAGTTTTTGAAAATGAGACAAAACTTAAGTAAAAATAGTTGAAAGAATGAGTTCAAAACAGTATATGAAAAAACAACAACAACAAGGAAATAACATACTTAGATGATGATTTTCACCATTCAAAACTGGCCATCATAGAATAACAATTTTTGAATATTTTAGAAGCATTTTTCTAAATTTCTTGCTGTTCTTTACATTTTACATACAAATAAATACTCCTTATTACTCAAACTCACTCTCGTGTACTCATATAAACAAAGAGTCAACCTACATTTCAAGTTGCTCATGTTTCTTGTGCAACAGATTCAAATCAGGCTTCAGAGAGTTAATTTCCATTTCTAACAGCTGGTTATAAGACGCTCGGTGTTTAAAGTCATTCTCTAGCCGCGTAGTACTTTCTTGGATTGTTCCTAGACTCTTCTTTAGAAGATCAATCTTTTCGGTAAAACTAAAAGATAAGCATCAATACAAGGTCATAAGTCAATACTCAAAACATTATTAATCATTTTGTTGCAAGTCAGTTTTTCAACAAGAATTAAATATTATCACAACTTTGCACTATGGACTTTAATATTTGAAAATTTAGTTTTAAAAATAAGGCAGCTTGAATTTCACACATTTTAACAAATGCATAATTTAATATTAAAAGGTATGGATATATTCAAACATGTTCAGTGTGTAGTTCAATTACTAATATAACCATTTCATGTTGTATGGCTTTTCTGATGTCCAGTGTGTAGTTCAATTATTAACCTTTCGCTATGTGTTGGCCAAAGTACGCATGTCATAATGTTTTGTAGAAACTTATTAGGTTAGATAATAAAATATAATAATAATTAATTCTTCATGAGGTATGATCACAAGCAGCTTGTGTGTTATGTCATTCAATACAGTGATGTGAGCTACGTGTTCACTATGTCATTTACAACTTGTATGGCAGGGTTATTAGTTAAGACACGGTTTAAAGCTGAAAAAAGCAATATATATAAGTATAAACAGATGTATACTGTTATGAGCTTTAACTTATTTAGGATAAACAAATGAAGTTTCCTGTTACAATCTGCAGTCATTCTAGAAAGAAAAAAAGGGTAATTTAGATTTATTTAATGGTGGTCACAAGGTCAGTCAAATCAACTGAGTCTGCTTAGGGTAGGAAAAATAACAGTGTGTTTGTTTGTTTTGAATTTTGTGCAAAGCTACAGGAGGGCCATCTGCACTAGCCGTATCTAATTTAACAGTGAAACACTAGATGGATAGCAGCTAGTCATCACCACCCACTGCCAACTCTTGGGCTTCTCTTTCACCAATGAATAGTGGGATTGATCATCACATTATAATGCTCCCACGGTCGAAAGGGCGAGTATGTTTGGTGGGACGGGAATTCGAACTCGCAACCCTCATATTATGAGTTGAGCACCTTAACCACCTGGCCATGCCGGGCTAGAAAATAATGGATAAAAGATAGAGTTTTATTGAAGAAAACCATCTGATATTTATTTAGGAGGTTTTGGAGGTTATACAAATAAAAATTTGAAAATTTTCAGATGGATAAAAGTATTTTTAATCTTAAAATGAAAACTGCTTTGTACTTGGAGCAGTCAACATTCTGACTCCATATATTCATTGACAAATAAATAATGACGTATTTAGAAAAATACGTCATTAAAAGATGTGATTTTCTGCGTAAAAAAGGCTTAAAACGTTTACCGAAAACTTGCCAAATTTTGTGAACATAAACCATATTAAAGGTTAAAGTATGGAAACTGGTGGTTACTTTGTGCTTATATGGTTGGTCAAATCATATGTCTATAATTCTGTTTTTTACATTTAGCATGTATCTTGATTACTAACCCAATCATTTCATGTTGTATAGCTTTTTGCTGATGTTCAGTGTAAAGTTGAATATGTTCTCCAAACAATGCAACCGTTTCATCAATGGCATCCAGAGCCTGTCTTTGTAGCTGAAGTTCGTGAAAAGTATTGTTGTAGTCTTCACAGAGATGACCCTGTTGCTCAGTTTTCTGGATATACACATTGTTAACTTCCATTACATTCTGAGCCCCTATCTCTACTTCAGTTGTGCTCTCCTCCTGATTTTCTGCCTGAATAAAACAATTTTACATACACAAAGTATTAAATATTCAATTATTTGTAACATCATAAAAGCTTACCTACATTTCTAGAACAAATAACCTTTTATATAAACATGAAAAATCAAACGTTAGGGAAAAGCCAGAGAAAAACATATGATACATACATAGTGGAAAGACCAATATAAAGGAAAACTGGAGTCTCTTTGTTTTAGAGCAAAGGCACATTGGGCCATATGATGTGTCTGCCAGGGGGAATCGAACCCCGGAATTTAGCACTGCAAGTCCATAGACTTACCTATGTCTCACTCAGGGACAAAGGAAAAGCCAAAGAAAAATGTACGGCATATACTATACGACAACATAATGAGGCATGAGCTCGGTGTTACATTTTTATTTGTATAGGTTGTAATTTTTTAACATTTAACTTGCCAAGTTGATGGTGAAATAGGTGAATACTACCTATTGGTGACTATACAATCTACTTATGAAGCTCAAGTGTAGAGGACGACATTTCGAAAGTCTCCCACCTTTCGTCTTCACTTTCAACTCATTATGAATACCCTGCCTAAACTATGTATCATAAATGTGTTCTTGAATCAGCAATGACCAGATTTTTTAAATTTTTACATTAACGCAGCTTTCTGTCAAAGTTCTCACTTCACAGTATTGGTGTAGTACATACACCATTTGTAACAATTCATGTTTTATACATGATTCATGCAGACAGACCTGCCTACAGAAATACATAAAACTGATGGTCTCATAGTTGTGCACAGTATATGGAAAACTCTAATTTTTAATAATAATATTTTACATTCACTTTTATACTGAAGTAGAGAGAAACAGGAAGAAGAAATTTATACTTATAAAGTATAGCTCTAAAAAAAACCTGTTTTAAAAGAAAAACCGTCGATCTACATTAGTTTACAGAGCAAGACACACAATATTTAATATTTTATTTTCATCTAGTGTTCAGAACCCGAACCAACCAACAACTGTTTTAGTTTAACATTCCCTAATTATTTTATCCATACATTACAGGAAAGAAAAGCTTATCAAGTCACCTCGTTCACATCCAGTTTTTAAGAAACCATGAAAGGCTAAGTGGTCTGTTTTGTACCTAATCCACTCATGTTGCTCTGCTTACTGAGCCCATGGGATCATGCTTACTGATGTGACTGAACACCTTAAGGACCTTTTTAATGCCCCTCCCCCTATTCTCCAGCATCTGACAGCATCTCCAGTTTACTTCAATTGTACGCATGCGACTGTAAGGAAATATTTCAATATATTTTACCATAACGACTCCTAAGAACAATGCTTTGCTTAGCACCCCCTCTGGTGTTAGGGACAGATGCCCACCTCAACATCAGAACATTTATTACAGAGGTTCTTTCCAGCTTGAGTTTTTGTAAAAACTAAGCTTCACATTATTTTTAATTGTGTAAGTTTTTTTTAAAGTATTTGATATGTGTCTTATTCAAGCTACAGGTGGATCTGCTAAGATGGCTCGATACATCAATTACCTAATAGCTGAAAGGCAAATGTATAATATTCAAAGATGCAATGCTGTACATAAAAGCTTTTACTCGATTAAAAATAACACCTTATAGCTAAGTTATTTGCTGTTTCGATTCTGAAGTGACATCAGTTATTTCAGGTATTTTTAAATCAATTATTTACATGCCTTGAGGTTGTTACATTAATAATAAGTTCTGTCTTCCTCATATAAAAATAATAATACAAGGTTTTCTTATTATAGTTGATCATTAGATTTGTCATCTTTATTTTTTCATGTACGGAGAATATTAATAAGTAGAAATACACCTTTTTTTCATTTGTTTGTTTTCGCTTAAGCTCAAACTACTCAATGGGTTATCTGTGCTGTGCCCACCACAGGCACTGAAACCCAACTTTTAACATTATAAGAGTGCAGACTTCCCACTGGGTTGTGCTTCTGAGCTGGAAGCTAATAAATTAATAAGTAATAAAAAAAAAGGTACACAACCTGATCAAACCTAGATACTGGATAAAGCAGTTTCAGATCTAATGTTTTATTGTACTGGGAAAGTGGGACTGTTCGATAATAGTTGATTAATTCCACGACACTGTTGAACTTCAGAGGTTCGGAAAATCCAAAGTTTCCATTCTTATGATATATCCTAATTAACTTGCTGGTTCCTCCTTTTCTGAAATGACAAAGAACACATAATTATTATTAAAACAAGAGTTTCAGGAGCAAGGTACTATACAGAAATGCAAACACAATTGTTCGCTAAAAACTGAAGGTATAAAATTGAACAACTAATTACTTCTGAAGACTTGATTTAGAGTAAAGTCTTATAATAATAGGGTTGTCTTAACAACAAGGAAAATTTCAATTATACAAGCTTCCTCATTTTGTAAGCAGTTAAATTCTTTAAATATTTTACATGTTAAATAACTTACTTCATTATCTCTATAATTAAAAATTGGGTGTCCATGTACACTCTACCTGATTGTAAACTATTTATGCACCAAACTAGTTATGGGTTCATCACTTGACTGGTTAACGTCATGATCCCAATAACACGAGTACAAAGATAAAACTTAAAAGAAAAATACTGTCAGCATTGTAATTAATCCGAACAAATACTGGTAGGACTTCCTATTTCACATAGAAAATGAACGAATCCACCCAAATATTTTTTATACAGTTGTTTACAATGAGTGTCATGATAAGCAAAATCCTAAAATAACTCCACAGTGACTTGAGGTTAATATAAAAAATATCAATAGATATTGAGTGACAAATTTAAGTGGATGAAACAAATAAGAGGGATCATTGTTTCCAAAGTTAAAGATCTGAAAAAAGTTGTTCCAGTCTAGCTAGATATATATGTATCTGAAAAACCGAGTGTTAATTTCTCTAGAATTTTCAATTATGATTCTAAAGTTTTCTTGTGACAGAAATATTTGAGTTATATGTTGACAGTTCAATTTTCTTTTTTTACTCTTTCATGACCAGGCACGATTCATGAAAACTGTATTACTGATTGACTTGATGTATATATATATTTTACTGAAGGTTTGCTTGTTTTTGGGATTTCGTGTAAAGATACTGGAGGGCTATCTCCATTAGTTGCCTCGAATTCAGAGTTGATAGACTAGAGGGAAGGCAGCTAGTCAACACCACTCGCTGCCAATCCTTGGACTACTCTTTACCAACAAAAATGGGATTGTCTGTCACATTATAATGTCCTGACAACTGGAAAGGTAAGCACATTTGGTGACAGGACCTAAACTTGTAACCTGCAGACTGCGAGTCAAACTCCCTAACTACCAGGTCATGCCAGGCTTTTATTGAAGAAAGGTCCTACAAACTATGTATAACTGGAATCAATGTAAAAAATCCTTATCAAATTATTTCGGTAGCCCCC